ATCTATTGAACACCTGCCGTGGGCCAGGCCCTGTTCCAGGTGCGTTAGGATTTCAGAGGTAAGGAAACCAAATTTCATGACCTCATGGAGATTTTCATTACAGTAGATATTATATGTTCTACACGTTTTTTTTATTATATGTATAATAGGTGATAATATTGTCAAATAAATGGGCATAGATAACAATAGACAAAGAAACAGCAAGAAAATCAAGAAAGTATCTGAAACAGTATGTTTAGTCATGATGGATACAGGCAGTGCTAGCTCTACTTTAGAAAAAGACAGGAACCTACTAAAGATCACTGATTTATAGCCAAAATCTTCATCAATAAGGAATGTTTAAAATGACTTCTACAATGGATATGATGCAATCATATCATTCATGTGACTAATATAGATAAATAAGTTAAAAAGACTGCAGAAGATTATGTAAGTACAATAGGATTCCACCATTTGTTTAAAAAAAGATTGTCTAGAGCAGCAGTCACCAAACAGTGGCCCGCGGACCACTGTTGGTCTGCGAGGTCCAAAAGGTTGGCGACCGCTAGTCTAGAGTCAGTCTTTTTATTATAAATTTATTTGTGAGTAGGAAATTTCTGAAGAGACACAAAATTTAATAATGGTTGGTTACCTCTAGGGAGCTGGAATAAATGATCAGAGGACTATTTTTTACCTTTATGATTAACTCATTTTTTAAAAACAAGATTCTTTACTTTTATTCAGATATAAAACACCTTTTAAGACTTATTGACTGATATGTATTTGTAGGCAAAGCAAAAAAGATGAAGGCAGAAAGTGGTATGATTTTTTTTCTAGGTTTCAGAAAATTTAACTTTTAAAAGGACAAAGCACCACTTTGTATACAGTGGTTAGGAAAATATCTCAAAACGAGGAGCTTTGGGGTGATTAGGCATGAGACTTTGAAACAAAGGGCAAAAAAAGGAGACTTGACTGAGGGTTTATCTTCTGAGACAACTATACGCTGACACCCAGAAAAACAAGATACCGAAGAATAAAACTAAAGCCAGCACCTGTGAAAACAGCTGAATATGAATGATTTGAGGTATTTAAGCATCGCCTTCTCACTCTAAATATTTAATGTAGCAAGTAAATATCCGTTTTTCTGATTGGAAGTATAAAACTATTTAAAATGGAAAATTACCTTTCTTATAAGGTGGTTTTCAGTATCTGCCACATATATGATATTGTTCATTATGGCTACACCCTGTGGTGAATTAAAAGTTGACTCTGAAAATATTCCATCTTTTCTTCCAGGATTGGGTCCTAAAAGACAAGATAGCCATAAGACAAAATTTTTCCATTTAGTAAAACCTCCAAAAGAAAATATGTATTTGAAGCCGAGACTTTAATATAAATAACATGATGTTTCTATCTGAACACTAAAATGTTTCCTAATATATCTGTTTTTCTCAAGAGTAACAAGTGCTGAGCAAGCCTGGCGTGGCAAGGGGACGAAGAGTAACAAGTGTTGTTAGTGACAGGGTGTATTAGATAATGGCTGCTAGTGTACTTTATAGTAACATATATCAGAAGAAAATACTTTCAAAAGCATCTTAAGTACCTGTTATCTACATTAGAAAGAACTAAATATAATTTTAATTTTTAAGCATCTAGATGAGTGATATTGAACAATTTGGGAAGATATGCTCATTTGATAATACTATTGACAGGTGAACAACATAGGTTTGCATTGCATGGGTCCACTTATATGAGAATTTTTTTCATTTGTTTTAAATTTAAAAATCTACTTGGCTTTATTGAATGATTCATGAATCAGGCAGCATTCCATCTAATAAACAAAGAAGCTCTCTACGTGGATTTTTTCAATAAATACTGTAAATGTATTTTTCCCTATAATTTTCTTAATAGCATTTCTTTTCTCTAGCTTACTTTTTTGTAAGAATACAGTATATAACACATATATATACAATATGTGTTAACTGACTTTATGTTATTAGTAAAGATTCTGGTCAACAGTAGGCTATTAGTAGTTTAGGCTATTAGTAGTTAAGTTTTGGGGAAGTCAAAAGATACATGTGAATTTTCAGCTGCACAGGGGGATGGCACCCCTAAACCCCAAATTGTTGAATGGTTAACTATACAATGAAAATCATGAACCCTTTCCTTATGGAAAAATACACATACCCATAAAATGTCACAAATAATTTCAAGAGGTTCCTAGATCCTCAAGTCCATTCAAGCATTTCTTAAGAGTCCATGAACCCTAAGTTAAGAATCCTCCATTTACTATTTCACTTTGCCACAAAGTTCTATACCTTATAGATACTGTAAAATAAAGAGTGTGATACTGGTCTAGTGACCTACTTCTCAGCTTTTGTAACACAGGTGGAGTTTTAAGAGTGGGGAGTAATTAAAATATAATTGTTATTTCTTTGACCAGAGGACAAGCCATTCAAAGCGTCTAAGTAAGCATTTCCAAACTATGTTTTGCAAAACTCCACTGTCCATAAGACGTTAGTAAGACAGGTGGATAGAAACATAAACTCAAGAGCCCAAAAGACTTGATTTAAATCCCAGCTCTATATCTCTTTAGCTGATGACCATTCTTTGTGTCTCAGTTTGTCTTCTGTATAATGGAACTAATAATATACCTAACTCACAGCACTATGAGGACTAAATAAATTAATACAGGTAAAGTACTTAGAATAATGCCAGAAGTTGCCTGGCCAGCTGGCTCAGTGGTTGAATATAGACCTATGAACCAGGAGGTCATAGTTCAATTCTCGTCCGGGCATATGCCCCATATGGGGCGTGCAGGAGGCAGCCGATCAATGATTCTCTCTTACTGATGTTTCTATCTCTCTCTCCCTTCCTCTCTGAAAGCAATAAAAATATATTTTAAAAAAGTAAAAAAAATGCCAGAAGTAAATGTATTACTATTATACTAATATTATTATTACTATTATTGACAGTTTTACTGTTATTACTATTATTAGCAATATTATTATTGTTGGTGAGAGTTCCCTGCAGAGGAAAAAAGGGAGAGAATTGTGGTCACTTCAAATTAAAAGATACTGTGCACTATAAAGTCTCTTGGATATTCATGAGGTACATTAGCAGAGTAAAAGATATGAGAAGTACAGTAAAACCATCACAAACAAAAAATTTGTTAAACCACATCTATCTAGTTTTTCCTGGTGTAGCTGAACACAGAATTCTTTTTCAAAAATTCTAGAATAACTATTAATTTATTACAAGATAACAGTATTCCTAAAAACATGTTTGGGAAAGCTAGCTTGTTGTTAGTTTTCTCTATTTAACAAAACAACAAAAAAAGAATATTTACCTATACTATTTTGAAAGTTATAGAATCTATTAGAAACTCTCTTAACCATTTAAATTCAACCTGCTACAACATTTTGAGTAACAATTCTCATAACTGCATGCCATAAACCAAAATACTAAGTTACTAAAACAAAGTAAACAACATAAAACACACATATACTCTAACAAAAACAACAAGAAACAAAAAATTCAAGAGCTATAGGAATAATATCTTGGCATATGAAGATTAGCACCAGGGTTTAGGAACATGATCAGTTTATTTGCACTAGGAGTGCAAGTGTCTCTATTTTATGCTGTATGTGTTACTCAAGTGGGCAGCAGAGATGAATTACTTTTCTAATTAATATGTTGTAAATAATAAATTATTTTTAAATTAATAAGACTTTATTAATTATGTAGATGTAAATAAGAGCCCTTTTTAGATCTAAGATCAGAGAGATATGAAACAAAATGATCCATGCTTGAATGATACTTATATTTTGCTAAACCCAAAGGGAAATGATCTAGATGTATGAGTAAGTTCTTATGGAAGGAAAAAGAAAATTATATACAAATCCTAGGTTATTTATTTTATAATCTAAGTCTCAAGTTCCTAAGGAATTGTCTTGGTCTTAAAAAAAAATAAAAAAGATATGGAAAAAAAAGATAAGGCTGTATTTTGATGGAAAGTGAAATACAATACTTCCATTTAAAATGCCCCAAATCCAAAATGTATATAGAGTATACAGTAGGTCCTCAAATACATTCAGCATTGTTTTATTATAATGTTGATAGTAGGCCACAGGCACTTAACTCTTCTTTATATCAATTAGCCTATGGTAAAATTTCTTTTGTTACATGTTTTTTCATTTGAAGCTGCAGAACCTATTGAGGATGTTAAGTGAGGATTTACTGTAAACTTATCTAATAAAAGAGAAACATGCAAATTAACTATACCCCCGCTACACCCACAAGCCAACCAGCCAATCAGGAGCGAGTATGCAAATAAACCCAAGATGGCAGCGGCCACGGAGCTGGAGCGAACAGGAGGCTTGGGTTGCCCCTGGCGATGGAGGAAGCCAAGCTTCCCACCTGCCCTGGCTGGCTGTTGGCTCCACTCAAGGCTACAAAGTTTCAATTATAGAAGATAAATAAATCCCAGATACCTGCTTCCAGCCGCTGTGGCCTCCGCTCAAGGAGGGCCTGCAAACAGCCATCAGCCCCTCACCTAGGCTGGCCAGGCACCCCAGTGGGGACCCCCACCCTGAAGGGGGTGTGGCCAGCTTGAAAACAGCCCTCAGCTCCTCACCCAGGCTGGCCACACCCCCCCAGTGGGAACTCCCACCCTGAAGGGAGCGTAGCCAGCCTGCAAACCACCACAGGCTCCTCGCCCAGGCCGCCCCACACCCCAAGAGAATCCCCACCCTGATTCGGGACACCCTTCAGGGCAAACCAGCCGGTCCCCACCCGTGCACCAGGCCTCTATCTATACTAATAAAAGGGTAATATGCTAATTAGACTGGGAGACCTTCCAGGAGAACTTCCGGGCGTTCTTCTGGACAAAGCCATGGTGGCGGGGCTGAGGTAGAGGTGGTTAGAGGCCAAGAGGGGAGGGTAGTTGTGGGTGATCAGGCTGGTGGGGGGCGGGGCCATTGGGGGGTAAGAAGACCAGCAGGGGGGCCAGTTGGGGGCAAGCAGGCCATCAGTGGGGGTCAGTTGGAGGTGATCAGGACAGCAGAGGGGGGAGCAGTATGGAGTGAGCAGGCCAGCAGGGGTGCAGTTGGGGGTGAGCAGGCCAGTGGGGAGGGGAGGTGGGGGTGAGCAGGCCAGTAGGGAGGGTAGTTGGGGGTGATCAGGCTGGCGGGAGGGGCATTTGGGGGCAAGCAGGCCGGCAGGCAGAGTGATTAGGGGCAGGCAGGCAAGCAGGTGAGCGGTTAGGAGCCAGCAGTCCCGAATTGCGAGAGGGATGTCCGACTGCCGGTTAAGGCCCAATCCCTGTAAACTGGCAGTAGGACATCCTTCGAGGGGCCCCAGATTGGAGAGGGTGCAGGCCGGGCTGAGGAACACCCCCTCCCCCGTGCACAAATTTCATGCACCGGGCCACTAGTACTTTCATAAGATACAATAAGTGTGGTAGTTTTTTTGAAAAAACAAGATATACAAATATACTTTAAAAATTACTAACTTAAAGATTTCCTCCTTTTGATTTGAATGGGGTTTTGTAGGGGTTTTTTTTTGAGGGAGAAGAGATTACTTTAGGTACCATACATTAATTAACAACTTTCATGATGTTAAAGTCAATGTATAGTGCTATAATTAGTTCTTATTTATAAATTTCAATATATTTCTTTGAACTTTTTTTCACTAAAAATACATTACATATCATAATTAAAAACAAACTTTACCTCCAATGCTGTACTGAATTTGTCCATTCTTCCAGACGACCAAAATTCTATGATGTCCAGTGTCTGCTATTACCAATCTCTTAGAAAGATGGTCTACTGTTACTTTGCCAGGAAACAGCAATGGTGAAGGTGGCAAAGAATCTTTATAGAGTTTTATTCCAATTTTATTAGCTTTGATCTGTCCTCTGTCTTTGTAATACTTTAAAGCTATTGAAGTATACAAAAACAATTTCTCTTTGTGTCCCTCTCCAATCAACGAAAACAACATGTTTCCACGGGGTCCAAGTATGACCACAGTTGGCCAGCAGGACACCTCCAGTTCTTGCCAAAGGCTGGCATCTGCATCGTTAACCACAGGGTGGGTGATGTCATATCGAAGAACAGCACTCTTAATGTTATCCAGGACTTTTTCATTTGGAAACTTAGCCGAGTGAACACCAACAATCAGAAGACCATCTAAATGAAAGAAGTTAAATATTATGAAATATTAAAGCCTGAATAGCATCATCCACATATTAGGCATTGGCTCATTAAATATAAATAGTCCAGAGGAAAAAAACAGTAAAAAAGGCAGAACTAAATTAGTGTGTGTATTGGACTGCATTTAAACACAGGTCTAAAAAAAATTAACATTCAAGGTTTCTTTTATTTCTAGAACATTTTCTTGGATTCTAACTTTAGATATTAGTTCCGGTCAGTTGTTTCGATTTTATTCTTCAGAGTCTCCAAGTAGTCTTATGTTGGACCTCTTCTGCTGTCTTCCAATCCAATCATTTTTTAACTCTTGTTACTTTTCTTTAGCTCATTTTTATTCCCCAAGTTTTATCCCCTGCTTTACTTCAATGCCCCTTATTCCATTTTTACATGAAATTATTGTCCCTTTGGCACAATTTAGTATTCATTTCTAATATAATTCTGACCTTTTCCTTCTATTTCTTTTCTGAGTTCAATCAGGACATTTCTTCTTTTTTTTTTTTCTTTTTGGTCCATTTCTGTTTAGGTTTTGAATTTTGATACAAGTTGCTTTTTCATTATTCCTAAAATGTTTGAAAATATGTAATTCAATTGAAAAATTGTTAGTTTTTGCCAATATTGTGATCATTTTTTAAGTGAGAATTTTCATCGGCATTTCAACTCTGAGTCACATTTTCAACGTTTTAAAGTTTTACATGGATATGATGTTTTTAACATTCCCTTCATGTTACGGACAGGGCTCTCAATTTGAGAGCGCCCTCTTCTGACAGTTCCCTTTTTCTGTGTAGTTAATCACACAGAACAAAAGTAGGAAGGACTTAGCCCCAAGTGTCCTTTCCCTTTGCTGAATCCTGTGAGTGCTCCTAAACCTGGTGGTGGTTTTAGGAATCCTGACACAAAATGAAATTACATATTGACTCATTAAAAAGTTTAGTTTCACTATAAAATAAAAAATGCATTTTCTAATTTTTAATAAAGTATATAAAAAAAATAGTATATGCTACATGATGAGAATTCCAGCATTTATTCAGCTGTATTATGGCATTTACGTTTTTAGAAATCTAATTTAATTATATATTAACATATACTAAGTAATCACAGTTTAAAATATGCCAAGTTTTCCTAATTGTTTTCTTACAAAACAAGAATACTTTTCCTTAGATAAAAGCCATTCTGCTAAATTTGGGTATTATATAATAACATACCATTAATGTATCCAGCATGAAAAGAAAAAGAAAAATTTAGAAACTCTAAAGTAGAAAAGGAAAGAAAACCACCAAGGCACCTGTTAGAGTAATACAAATGTGAACTGAACTGTTAAGAATAACAACCTTAGGATATAACTACATTCTTAAACAATGTTTAAAGACCAGACCACTCATTACTATTAAGTACAGTATCTTTTTACTTTAGACTTTGGCATTATGATTTCTCATATGCTACTGTAAATGTGATACTGATCATCATTACAAACCTGACTTTAAAAGCTGTTTTACAGAGGAAGGAGACTGGGTATTAAATTGGACCTCTTTCACGGAGTTTTGAATTAATAAGCACTCCCTCACAAAGCTAAGCAATTCTGATAAAATGAACTGAACATTCCATGGAAGCTGAAATAGGTGGCCAAATGTCATTTTTAAGAAGTATTAGCATTGCTGCAAATATGTTCAGAAACATATCAGATAGTAGTGAGACAAGACAGCCGCAAGAAAGCCAATGAAGTTAGCAACAGTTCATTGAACTTTGATGTAATCTCTGGGTATGCCAGCTTTTGTGACTATGAATTGACTTCTAAAATTAAAAAAAATTTTTTTTCATATGTAGCATATTACTGAAATAATGTTTCTTTGAAATTATAATGTTGAGATCATCTACAAAGTATTTTACTTTTCAGAAGTGTATTTGCATGTAAAAATAAGGTGTTAATTACACTGTGCTATGAAAAGGAGCTTTTAAGTAAAGTGATAAAGAGATTACGAGGATCCATTCTAAGAATGTGTTCCAGGTATAGGGTTAACCAAGAAAGTTAATCAAATACAGTCTTTTAGGGGTAATCTTAAGTGTGGAAAAAGTTAACTCTGGGATTCTTAACCCAATCTGTAGTGCTTCTCTAAAACTCAAATGTTATTATGATGTGATCATTCTATTAAACAAACAAACAACCTTTAATATCTCTGTATCTTAAATGGAAGGAAAAGCCTAACTATTAAGAATGTTATACAAAGCCCTTCGGTCCATGGTCCAAACCCAACCTACCTTCCCCTCCTTTCGCTTTTCCCAGGAGCTCCTACAATCTTGCCAAACTAAGCTATTTACCACTCCCCAAGAAACCCACGCTCCATGCTTTCCTGCTAGTTTCCCTGTTGCTTCCCCCACCTGTCCCATTTTCATTTTCAGCTGCACTGCCGCTCTTTTTCCCAGTTCCATCTAAATTGTCTTCTTCTCTGAGAAATCTTTTGCAATGCTTATAGGCAAAGTTAGTTATTTCCTCAGGTTCCAAAATGCTTTTCATTCAATTCTGATACACTGATACATATTTCCCCAGCAGTTAAGCAGAGAACCTTACACCTAACACATGTTCAATAAATGTATTCATTTACAGGGGCTTGAAGAAGACACAGCATTCAAAACCTAAGAAATGAGATACTCATAGCTCTTAAATCAATACAGATGAATTTCTGAAAACATGATTTAGCTACTGGGACTTTTGAGTTCTTGGTAAATCTCATTGTTTGGCAATTTGAAGATACAACCTATTACAATTTAAAAGCAACTGAAGCTTCACTAGCACTGAAGATTTTATCTTTCACTCCTGTTTTTTAAGTTTCAAGATGTCCTTCACCTTGCACATGTATACTCTCTTCTCATCTTTACTCACAAGATCATTGACTCTTTCTCATTTTTATCTTTTATTAAGAGAAGAGCTTCAATTAATTTCAACCTAATTAAATGGAACCTTGAGTTTCATTTACCCCCCATGCTCTCTTTTAGGAAAAAGTAAACAGGAAAAAAAGTCTCTGAAAAAAATCTCAAACTTCTAAAGTAAATATTAAGATTAATCTCTTACATCTTCAGAATTTGCAATACCATAAAAGAGGATTTCCTAGTGTTTTGGAAGATATTTTTCATAAAGCAGGTCAAAGAAAGAGCATCTGTTATAGTATTCTGTATTGCACTGTTGTTCATGTCCATGTCATTCAAAATGAAAAGAAGAATAATCACATTTCCTATTAAGAACTTTAAACCTTTTAAAAAATATATATATTTTATTGATTTTTTACAGAGAAGAAGGGATAGGGATAGAGAGTTAGAAACATCGATGAGAGAGAAACATCGATCAGCTGCCTCCTGCACACTCCCCACTGGGGATGTGCCCGCAACCAAGGTACATGCCCTTAACCGGAATCGAACCTGGGACCCTTGAGTCTGCAGGCTGATGCTCTATCCACTGAGCCAAACCGGTTAGGGCAATATCACAGTTCTTGAGAAGAGTATAAAATCAGTCACACATTTAATTTTTTTATAGAACAAACTCAGGTAAATCTAGATATATACAATTAACTTTTTAAAATACTTGATCCTGAGAAAAGTACATTATGCCCTATTCTTAGAGAAAAATATACTAAATTTACTAAATGCTGGTTCTAGTATCACTAAATTTAACGCTTCTGAAAAGGTACATGGAGTCCTTAATTCATAGATTAGAAATTATTTTAGAATTACTGAAGTCTTGCCAAACATTCATTCGCCTGTGAGGAAATGAGTCAGCTACTCTTCCAGTGTCTGTGTCTGTTAGAACCAATTGAAGGGCAATTACCTTTATCCGAGTAGGTGTGTTCTAAGGCATGGAGATCAGGCAGTAGGTGAATGCAGTTTATGCAGCAGTAGGTGAAGAAATCAAGGATGACCACTTTTCCGCCCAGGTCCTTGTAAACAGAAATAGGCCCCTCCGTGTTCAGCCATTCTAACCCTGAAATTTACACAAAATAAATGATCATGACTAAAAGGACAATTAATCTAAAATGTGAACCACTTATTTCTTAGGAGAAGATGGGTGTGCAGAGAAGACGGGGGGAACAAAATGGGAAAGAGGCTGTAATGAGACAGCCCTGCAAATATAGTAAGAAAAAGCTACCAAATTCTTTCAGAAACACTATAGTCGTCTGTGTAAGGAAGTAAGATCAACACATTTAGGTAAAAAACAAGAGGAAATATCAAATATTATTAAGAGGGCCTAAGTACACAATAAGGTACAAAAGGGCTACTGAAAATGAGTCAACCTTAAAAATAGCAAGGCATGACTAAATATCAAAAAGGAGCAAAGTGTTCAAAGGTTAAACATACAAAATGCTTAAACCAATTTCATAAAAGAGCAGAAATGCTTGATATGAAGGAGACCATAAATGCAAAATATTTTAAATGCAAAGAAAAATATGCTGTTACAGATTTCATGTAAACATTAGTTCCCTTCCCTCCAAAGAAAAATAAAATCTCCTTAATCTGCACTTTTGCAATTCAGAATTTATAATTACTTGACTATTATTTACAATTTTAACTATGCACTATGAAGATAGATTGTTTTTTTTTTTTTAAATATATTTTATTGATCTTTTACAGAGAGGAAGGGAGAGAGATAGAGAGTTAGAAACATCAATGAGAGAGAAACATCGATCAGCTGCCTCCTGCACATCTCCCACTGGGGATGTGCCCGCAACCCAAGTACATGCCCTTGACCGGAATCGAACCTGGGACCCTTCAGTCCGCAGGCCGATGCTCTATCCACTGAGCCAAACCGGTTTTGGCTGAAGATAGATTGTTAACCTAACATTAAAAGTACTGCATTTTGCCCTGGCCAGTATGGCTCAGTTGGTTGGAGCATCATCCCGTGCACTGAAGGTTGTGGGTTTGATGCCTGGTCAGGGAACATACCTAGATTGTGGGTTTGATCCCTGGTTGCATGCAAGAGGCAACCGATCAATCTTTCTCTCTCTACCTTCCTCTCTTTCGAAAAATCAATATTGAAAAAAAGTAAAGCATCTTCATTTAACCAACTTAAGAAGACAAAGATAATGAGTTTGTTGCTTATAAATAAATAAATGGAGCTACTAAAACTTTTAATTATACTTTTAAAGTATAATTGACATACAGTATTTAATTATACCTTAAAACAGGCATTTGGAAATATTTTATAGAAACTGAAAGCCAGAGTTGGGTGGAGTCAGTGCATAATAAGAACTAGTGACTAATAACAGTAACTGGAGTTACTCAAATGTAACAAAATTCATAAAAACAAACCAACAAAAAACCAACAGACAGTTGGGGGGGGGGGGGGGTGAGGGCATATGCTGGGTAGTGGGAGCGGCCAGGGAGAGGTCAATGGGGGGAAAGGAGACATATGTAATACTTTAAACAATAAAGAATTTAAATTTTAAAAATATTATTTTTTTAAAAAAACACACACCAGAAAACTGCTAATTAAATTACCACTTCTGCCAATTAATCCAACTTATTAAGGTTTTAGGGTGAACTCTTAATTATCCATTTTAATAAAGTGTTAATTATATGCCAGATCAAGTGATTACATACAATTTCAAGTTAATTAATGTATATTTTATATTTTATATCCTAGTTGCAAAATATTTATGAACCTGTCTTTTAAATTTTTTTTCTGTAAACAGTCAAGAGTGACTTACATTGAGGGCAGAGAAAATATTATTGTGCTAGGTGCCTCTCAGGCTTAATAATATCATACATTTTATAAAAACAATAATGACAATCAATATAATTTTAAGAGCTGCTAACATTTACTGAACTCCCCTATGAACTAAGAACTTTAGGTATGTTACCTCCAGTCTACATAATAAACAGGAAAGGTAAATACTCATTCTACTTTGCAAGTGCAACACAGGCTTGGAGAACTCAAGTAACTTGCTCAAAGTCTGCAGCTAACAAATGGAATAACTGGGATTTAATCGCAGGTCTGTCTGACCATCCGTTATATCACACTAGTTCCCATAAACATGTGTTTCTTTTAAGAAATGAACAAAAACATACTATTTTTGAGACAGTTATGTTTATGACTTCTTGCTATCAGTTTACTGATAAAGAAACCAAGAAAAAGTCATCTCTAGCATTCTGTCCTCAATAATTAGGTCCAGTAGAAAATCTAACTATGTCAAATACGAAGCTTGAATATTTTGTTACATTATTTACCAGTCAAAGGTCAAATCTGATGGTAATAAAATACACTCATAAATACAAAGTCCAGAAAATAAAAACAAAAGCCTAAATCCTAGCTGGCCTGCTCTTATAACAGTACTACATAACTAACTTCTCACAAAGCTTTTAAAAAACATGCATATATATATATATATATATATATATATATATATATCTCACATATATATGATATGATATATATGTGTGTGTGTGTGTGTGTGTGTATACACACACATATATACTTTCAAAGTTTCTTTGATGGGATAAGCACTCATGTTTCCATTTTTTTGGTAAGAATTCCACAATATTTCAAATCCGGTATAGGATGAATAACAGAAAATTAAAAAGCACTTTTCAAGGTGGGAGCAAAAGGCCTGGAAAGACACACCAGACATTTGCCGGAGGTAAGGTTCCGATACACCTCCCTGGAGACACTGAACCCTGCCACATCCACCCAATTAACTATACATGTGGTGTCGGTGTCCTGCCAGGAGGCATGCCAACACCACCAGGCAGAGCAGTGGCAGTGCGGACCCAAGAAGGGAAAGCGGGTTTCATTTATCACAGAAAGATGCGCCCCGCAAACAGCACTGCCGGGCGGCCCAGCTCCCTCCCTCGTGTTCCAAACACTCCCAGCGCCCGCCGGGAGTCGGACCTTGGAGATGGGCCACCACTGATTCCGATTTTTTAAACGATCCGTTTCACGACTTGGAACGGAGACGTGTGGCGGCGCTAAGAAAGCATCGGCATCTGGGGTCTTTAGCATCCGACCCCGGCAGATGGTTCCAGCCGTGAGGCCCGGGGCAGACTCACTCAGCTTTCCCCGGCCTCCGTTTCCTCAACTGTAAAGCAGGGCTCATGAGAGCACGTCCACGGACGGTGGGGAGGCAGAGAAGATCATTAAGATAACAACCCCGGAGGGTTCGGAACTGTGTGTCACATAAGAAGAGACGGGTAAAATGCTAGCTGGGCTGGAGCAGAAGATGCTGGGCAACCAGACGGAAAGGGCCGGGGGGCGCGGGCATTGTAATCACTGCCCATCGGGGCCACTAAACAGTCCCGGCAGGTGCAGAGGGTGAACCTAAGGTCCGGACGGGGCTCAGGATGCAGGACCGACAGGCAGGCCCCGCCCAGCAGACACCCCCCGGGCGCCGCCGCTTCGGGGCACCTGGGCACGGCCGCGCCCTCGAACCACGGCTCCGGCGCGGGCCAGGCGCCCGGAACCACCCGCCGGCACCACCCCGCCTTACCCACCAACTCAGGGGAGGGTGTCGTCCCGAGGAAGGGGAGGTTCCGGCGGGGTCCCCACCCCGAAGCCAGCCCCTCACCTTCCGGAAACTCGGGCACTGACAGGTCCTGCTCCCAGCCGTCCACCTTCTGCAGATACTGGTAGACCAGGCTGCTCTTCTCCTCCTGGGTGACGGCGTCGAGCAGGGCGTACTCCAGCGAGGTCTGAGCCGGGAGCAGGCCCGCGAGGCTGCGGCTCCGGACGCCGGGCGCCGCCATGTTCCCTCCGGACGGTCCTGGGGCGGCCGCGCCGCGGGCCACGGGCCGCGCTCCTCTGGGGACAGCGAGGCAGCGTTTCCCGTCCTTCGGTTTCAAAACGGCACATTCACCTTGCTCTCCCCCAGCCCCAGTCCACACTAAGGGCACTTTTTTCTGTTGTAAACATGCATTCAGGTGCTCAAGTCCCTACAAAACGCCGCCAATTCCCGGCGCGTAATTAAACTACCGCCCGGAGCCGCCCCGCCCCGCCCCTTGGAGCCCTCCGGCCGCCGCCGAGGCTGGGCGTTCGGAACGCCAGATTCGACAGGAAAGGGCCTCGGGTAGCGTTCTAGAAGCTGGAAGAGAACCATTCCCCCCCACCTTTCGCCTTAAAAACAAAAAATAAAATTCAGTGAGTCCGCAGAACTATACAAGGGCACATAATTTTTCCCCCCATTCTTTTTGAAGTCCGGCTCTTAGACCGGAACCAGCCGATTCGACACGGCCCTGACGGCGGGAAGCAGTCCCGCCAAGACTGGAAAGGTAAACGAGTAGGGATATATATCCTCAGGCTTTTGAAAGTTGGGGGTGACTGTTCATGGCTTTGGCTTGTACACAAATGCAGTCATTTGTCGCCCTGCCGTGCTGAAAGTGCGGGCGCGAATGGATTGCCAGCAGAGCAGGGGGAGGAGAGGAAGGGGGGCGCTCGGGGAGCGGACGCGGCTGTTCCCCGGGGTGGCAGGTGGGCTGCGGCGAGCATCCCCGGGGGCCCGACTTCCGTCTTCAGAAGGGCAGGGCTGTGATTGCTTTTATGGGGCGGGCTGTGCTGACAGCTCATTCGCTCCCGGCCCTGGAGTGGGGAAGGCCCCACGCTCTGGCCTTGCAGCCTCCCGCGTGCCCAGGGAAGGTAGAGCCCTCGGGAGGCCATGGGCAGGTGAACCTTGTTCTGAGGCCGGTGGAGAGAGGGCCGGCCGCCTCCAGGGCGGACCACCCCTGTGGTCTGGAGTTAGGAGGGTGGCCTCCGTGCAGGCAGGCACGACTTCACGTGTTTGGATGTTTGTTTATCGTGCAGAGTTTGTTCATTGCCGCCGGAGGAAGACGGTGGACTGACCCAGGAAGCTGGAGTTGAATATCCAGGCGTCATGGACGAGGGCAATTACGTTTACTGGGAATCACATACTGCTTTGATTATGGGGTGACTCGTCTTAATGAGCAAACTGAGGTAGCCATTGAGTGTTTGCAACACCTGCCGAGCTAATTGCGCAGGGACCGTGGGTGGATTTGAGAATTATTTGGACAGTTGTCCAGTGGAAAGAGAACTGATAGCAGCTTTATAACGCTTTTGCAAAGCTCGTTCGAAGACTCCCATTAATGCTTAATTTTCAAAGTATTACGGATTCTTACTTTTATGAATCAAGCCCTGGAAAAGGCCCAGTGTCTGAATGAAATAGTAGACACAAAAAAATAGAAAACTTCTCAGATGCTACCCCTGTGGTAGTTTCTCTTAATTTTATTGTAGTAGGTGGTCTCAGGTATAAGGTTTATAGTTTGCCAATATACTCATTACCAGATCTTTAGATTCCCATCAAGTTAGTCAGTGTTTTAGGTTGTTTTTATTTTCCCCAGCAAAATAATTTCATTGAAAAATTTTTGGAACAACAAATAGACTCTCCGTGTACTTAAGATTAGTGCTTTAATGATAAAAATTATTTTGCCATGTTAGAAGACACTTTTTCAGAAGAAGACATCTGGGAATACAAATCCAAAAGGAAACCAAAACCAGTACATGCAAATAATTGCCCTGAGAATATTCCAAAATCTGTAGAAAAAGCAACAGATGGAAAATACCGGTCAAAGCGTAACAGAAATAAAAGAAAAACTGTGGAAGCTAAAGAGAAGGCAGAGGACCCTGAAGAGTGCCTTGGAGTAACAGGTAGTCAGACTTCTATCGCTTCTAGTCAGGGTTCGAGTTGTGGAGATGGTACCCAGCAATCCCAAGGCAAGACCACACCAGGAAAGCACTGCCGGGCTCACAAAACCAAACAGGTGTCTCCAAAGATCCGTCCAGTGTACGATGGATACTGCCCAAACTGCCAGATGCCTTTCTCCGCCTTACTAGGTCAAACACCTCGATGGCATGTCTTTGAGTGTTTGGATTCTCCGCCACTCTCCGAAACAGGTAAGACTACAATAAAAGATAGCGGTCTTTAAATGGGCCTGCAATAGGCCAGTCATATCAGTGCAGTCAAGCAAGGGAAGCAATAAACTGAGAGGAGACACTCTAACCCTAGAAGCAAACAAGATGAAAGCATGTGTACTCTTCCTGAGAAGGTAAAAATACAACAGCCAGAGGTGTAATTGTAAAGAATGTTGCAAACTTGAAAACAGTCCAAATGGATTTTATTTTATAAAAGTCCCTAAACATCTCAATTATTTTTCATAAATGCTAATTGAGCACATATGCTAGATACTTTCACTTGCTTCATTTGATTCACAACAACTGCACAGGTAGGTGGTATTGACATTTCATAGATGAGAGTTCTTCAAAGTTAAACAACTTGTCCATTTTGTTATCTTTTTATGAAGCAGAGTTTTAGAGACTTATGACTATAACCCACTCTTCTAACTGTGGTTATGTTGGCTGCAGCATGCTAATGTTCAGGAAGAGGAACTGGGAAGGAGTCTCAGGTTATTAAGTTCTAATGATAAAAATGTGCCAATTGGTAATCAGTGTTTTTATCTTTTAAAATCTCTAATAAACGTCATGTTTAAAAGATAGAGTTTCAACTTGGAGCATATGGAAAATGGGTTTTGATGATTTGTGTATTTTAAAGTTATGTGTGCGGTATACAGATTTTTAAATCTCAAAGAATTAAAATTCAGTAAAGTAAAAATAATACTCAGTATGGCTTTCATGATAAAAGTGATTTAAAAGCCATTTTCTTATTAACTTCTGTCATTTTAAAGTTCTGCATGAAGATGCAAAAGAACTCTTAAAATTTGCCATTAGCCGTTCTTATAAAAGTATAGCAACTAAAAGCCTCACCAAATGCTAGTAATTTGCTTTTCAATGGCTTGAAACCCAGAAATGGAAGTTGGAGTCTCAGGGTGAAATGTCTTGTAGGTGAAACCACCTCAAATATATTTATCTTTTTTTTTTTTCTGACTAAACTCTTTTGAATAGTTTCAGATGGACTCTTCTTGAATTGATCTCTATAACTAATACTTTTATGAGGCGGTTTTAAGTTTTAAGCAAAGAAGTTTTCTAATTTAATGGAACACCCTTGGGTGGGGGTCACTATTGAATAAACCAGGAAATAACCATACAGGGGGATATGCCAATATGGTTTACAGAATGTTACCCAATCACAATGGTATGGTGGGGAACGGTTTCCAGATCATCATTAACCAGTGTATCAAACTGAATTTCTAATCTTAGAACAGAATCTAAATGGCCCAGGGTATGGACAGCTATAACTAATTAAGATTGTTATTACTAAATAATGGAAGCTAATTCGTTACTACAATTGCCATACATCTGTGTTGTTCCATAAGAAAAATTGGAGTAGAACTCTGGTTCTGAGAGATATATCGGTCTTCTTTATTCTTTATTGCCTGAGCAACAGTGAATGAGAGAAAGTGGTGGTATCAGTTTATATAGCATCTGTTTAAAAAATATGTAATGTAAGGATGATATGGATTTTAAAGGAGCTCATATTTGTTTGATTTAAAAATAATAACTAGCAGTTAGCAAAAACATACTGGGTTACTGTTATTTTATGCTGATCTTTTGATTTGTATTGCTAAGGCCTCAATATGGAACTGATGACTACACTTACGTGTTGATTTATCCGTTGATACTGTCAAAATGTAGTCTGTGCTATGACACTGTAATACTTTTTTTCTTTATTACAATTTTCAGAGTGTCCTGATGGTCTTCTGTGTACCTCGACGATTCCTTCTCATTACAAGAGATACACTCACCTCCTGCTAGCTCAGAGCAGGGCTGGTCATAGTCCTCTTAGCAGTCCATCCCATGGGGTAGGCGGTAGTTTCAGTGAGACTAACTCAGGCTTTCTTTGTAGCCTTGAGGAAAGTTGGTCTCCGGATCAAAAACAAACTGAGAACTTCAAACATGTTTCAATTGATCCCTTGTTCGTGACACAGTGTCTAAAAAAATCTCAGTCTCCAACTGAAACCAAGAAAAAGATTTCCTCTTCAACAAATATCCAAACGTCCCAACGAGCTCCACAAGCTACACAATGTGTTCATGATGACAAACTGGTAGGAGCTGGTTGGCCTCTTGCCGGAAGACTAGACAGCCAGAACAACTCAGGACACACCAATTTGCTGTGGCCAGAAAATGACTTGAGCGACTGTGAAATCTCCTACTCTCCTCTTCAGAGTGATGAAGAAACTTATGATATAGATGAAAAGCTGGATGATTCACAACAGGAGCTGTTTTTTACAGAAAGCTCTAAAGATGGCAGCCTAGAAGCAGATGACAACAGCTGTACTTTGTTTAAAAATGTCCACTGTCCCTTACTGAGGAGTCAGCAGGAGAGTGGCTCTGAAATGAATAGCTTCTTAACTCAAGAGAGATACAATGAAGAATTGTATACATACAGCACTCTGAATGATCCATCTCAACTTCTTTTCCCAAGTGAGGGTATTATTTTATGTCATGATCCGGCATATTCTGATGATGGTTTCTTGTTGTTTCCACCTGCATTGGCAGGGGGACTTGCTTCTTCTAGTTGTCAAGCCACTACCGCAAAACCTGATGAGCCAGAAGTTCACGCCTCTCCATCAAATAAACAGAAACAGATAATTGAAGCATCAGCTGTTTACAATCACATTTCTCTTCCACTACTTAAGAGTAAAATGCCAAAACCTTTTGAAAGCCAGGCCCAAGGAGGGTGTCTTTCTTCCCATCCAACCCAAAGTAAAATTAGAGAATTATCGAGTAAGAGCCTCAGTACTAAGAATAATGCTAACTCAGCATGTTCCTGCAGAAAGGCATTAGGTGGTATGCGAGACAATCAAGTTACAGTGCTAAATACACAGACATTTTCGAGTACAGCGACTTCTGCTAAGTCTTTGAAAATGTTGCCATCTGGTTCTCAGTGCAGTGCAACACAGACTTCTACGAAGGTAATGAAGCAAATGGATATAGGTGTGTATTTTGGTCTGCCACCTAAAAGAAAAGAAGAGAAATCGGTGGGGGAA